GAGTTTTCTATATTTTTTTTTCACCCCATAGGGTAAATGACTGCTAGTAACATGTCAGCAAAAGTAGCATATCAAGTTCCCTTAGAGATATACACTCTTAGGCTATATTTTCATGGGATATATTTAGAATTATAGAGTACAATCCCTGGAAAACAATCTTAGAAATCACCTACTCCAAACTTCTCATTAGAAATTAAAAAGGGAAGTGACTTGCTCTAACCCCAAGTGACAGAAGCTCCATAGATTTAAGTATGGCAACAAATCTGACCTATGATAGGTGCCTTGAAATGCAGCATAGAGTAGCGGTGAGCACACTGGATTTGGAGGCAAAGGACCTGAGTTCTGATGCTAGCTCTGTGGCTGATTTGCTGTAATTATATTGACCAAGGTTGGCCATAAAGAAGAGATGAGAAAATGGGTCTTCCCTACTTTCCCTTAAAGAAATGGGGGCCTAGGGGCAACTAGGTGTGCAGTGGTTAGACCACTGGCCCTCAAGTCAGGAGGACCTGACAAATCCGGCCTCAGACCAAACATTTGACACTTATAGCTGTGTGACCCTGGGCAAGTCACTTAATCGTAATTGCCTTTAAAAAAAATACTGTAAAGAAGTGGGGGCCTGTAGTTGTAGAATGTTGTATGTGTTGTCAGAATGAGTCCAGTTTTTGCTTGGTTAGGGATAAGTTCCCAAATCAACAAGTTACCACTTAAAAGCACTAAGGATACAAAGAAATGCAAAAAACCAGCTCTTCTGGAGCTCACAGTTGAATGGGAGAGACTTCATAAAAACAACTATGTATAAACAGGGTCTATACAGGATAAACTAGAGGTCATCAACAGAGGGAAGGTGCTAACATTTTTCTTTCTTCTTTTCTTTTTTAAAATTAATTAATTAATTAATTTTTAGTTTTCAGCATTCATTTCCACAAGCTTTTGAGTTCCAAATTTTCTCTCCATCTCTCCCCTCCCCCCACCTCAAGACAGTGTGCATTTACAATACCCCTTCCCACAATCTGCCCTCCCTTCTATCACCCTCTTCCCCCTTCTCGTTCCCTTCCCCTCCTATTTTTCTGCAGGGCAGGATAGATTTCTATACCCTATTGCCTGTATATCTTATTTCCCAGTTGCATGTAAAAACAGTTTTTAACATTAAAACTTTGAGTTCCAAATTCTCTCCCTTCCTTCCTCCCCACCCACCCTCATTGAGAATGCAAGCAATGGAAGGTGCTAGCCTTAAGGAGAAACCATAAAGGCTTTTTGTAGAAGGTGGGATTTTAGCTGAGATTTGAAGGAAGCCAGTGATGCCAGAAGCTGGAGATGAAGAAGGAGAGCATTCCAGGCAGCTGGTGAAAATGCATGGAGTTAGGGGATGGAATGTTATGTGCAAGGAACAGCACAGAGGCCCAGATTCACTGCCTGGAAGAGTATGTGGAAGGGGAGTAAATTGTAAGGAGATTGGAAAGGCACGAAGAGGCCAGGTTGAAGGACTTTAAAGGATTTTATATTTGATCTTGGAGGTAATAGGGAGTTTCTTGAATGGGTTTTAGGGTGAAAGACATGGTCAGACCTGTGGTTTAGGAAGATCAGTCTGACAGCTTTATTCACAAATGAAGGTGGTATAAAAACGAATCACTAATAAAATAAAATGTATGAGAAACTGTCAAAAAATAAATGGTAATTCCCAGTCCGCAATGGTTAAAGCGATATGAACTGAAAATTGCCAAGAACTGAAACACAGATCGTTAATAATTACTTGAAAAAATAGAAACTCTCAGGTTATCAGAAATTGAAACATTTTTAAGGTACTACCATACACTTATCAAATTGGCAAAAATAATTAAAAGCCGTGAAACTCAATACTGATGGAGTTGTACTTATACTTGTAGCATGATTTTGGACATCAGTATGTCAATACATAGTAAAAGTTAACCCCTCTTCCAAAAAAAATCCTACTCTCTAACACAATACTTCCATTGTTGGGAATATGTGCTGAAAGTATGATTAAAAACAACAAAAAGCACTCTCTGAGGATTTTTATAGCATTATATACAATCATAAATTAGGGCCACTGGCAGTTTGAATGAGGTTTCTGTTGTGAGTGTAAAGAGTTTTAAAATGAGACTTGATTAGTTTTTCTTACCCATTTCAGTTCCTACATTTAGCAGCTAAGGCCTCTCCAAATGAATCACCATGTAATAATTCAGCATCTGCTCTGAAGAGGGGAAAATGAGAAAGTCCATGACAAAAGATTTCTTCCAAAAGAAATTTATCACAGGATATTCTTTATAGCAAATTGGGCCTGAAAAGAGGGGCACTGCGTTCCTTTAGATCTGCATCCAAATTGGAGTGGTGGTATCTTAGCTTTCTCAAAGGTGGCTTCCCTGCTTTTTTTTTGTTTTTGTTTTTGTTTTTGTTTTTTTTGTTTGTTTAGGAAATGTCTTATCTCTGCTGTGTAATAAGGATGCTCTCTCCTTTTAGGGACATTCTAGTTTGGCATTTGATGTGTGGAACAAGATGTATCTGTTATCTTCACTTTGAGATTTATGCTTTGGGATCTTTGAGCACAGTAATATGATGAGGGGAGTGAGAATGTGATTGGAATGTTTCCCAGTCTATTTAAGCTTGTCTGACAAAGGTGATATAGAATACTTCAGTTCTGATCCCAAGTACCATGGGGCTTATTCAAGCCCAGGCAGATACTTATCTGTCATGTTAAAGTTAGGAAAATAGGAAGAGATGGTTTCCAGGGTGAAAATGAAAGAAGACAAGCAATAAAAACTACGTAGGCATACAGGATACTAGCCAATTAATGTGGTTGTGGTTCTTCCAAGGGATTTCTTCCTCGAAAATGATTGGCCGCTGTCAGGAAGGTGGCCTTGGGGGACAGGGTCTTTTGAGAGACTGAGTCATCTGATACAAGTTCTTCTAATTTTTATCTTTGGGATAATTCAACATGTGAATGCCAACTTGGATTCTGCAGGGAAATGGGGAATATACTTCTGATATATAAGGCTCCTGGGGCAGCTAGGTAATAAAGTGGATAGAGCACTGGCCCTGGAGTCAGGAGGACCTGAGTTCAAATCTAGCCCCAAAAAGTTGGTACATACTAGTTGTGTGACCCTGGGCAAGTCACTTAACTGTGATTGCCTTGCAACAAACCAAATAAACAAAATATATATAAGGATCCTAACAAGCGTAGGAATACATCTACTATTAGTATAGCCATGTATAAATATATATGTGCATATTTATTTTTTCTAGCAACGTAAGTCACCCCTCACCTAAATTATTATAATAGCCTCCAAATTCTCAATTTTCCCCCCACTTTCATCTATACTCCACACAGTTGTCAAAAAGATTTTTCTTATATGCAGATCTGACCCTGTCATTTCCCTACTCAGTATTCTCCAGTCTTTCCCCTGAGCTTCACTACTGCATCACCAGCTACCTGTTAGATATTCAAACTGGATGCCCTAGAGAGATCTCAAACTATGCAAAACAGAAGTCATTATCTTTCCCTTCAAAACCTCTACCACTCTACCAAACTGTTCTAATTCTGTTAAAGGCACTGCTGTTATAGTTTCCCAGGTTTGAAGTCTCAGCATTAATGTGCTGTCCTTCCTCTTACTCCATACCGCTCATCCTTTGCTATATTACGTCCTTTTTTCCTCTGTAGTCTCTCTCACCTATTCCCTTTTCTTTGCAAACACAGCTACTGTCTTAGTTCAGGGCTTCATTACCTCTCTTTTGTCTTCTTACTTCATCTCTTCTACTCCAGTACATGTTTTTCTACATTGTTGCTTAAGGGATTTTTATTAAGTGCAGATTTTTTTTTTAAAGGCGATTGGAGTTAAGTGACTTGCCCAGGGTCACACAGTTAGTGTCAGGTGTTTGGTCTGAGGTTGGATTTGAACTCAGGTCCTCCTGACTTCAGGGCCAGTGCTGTATCCATTGCACCACCTAGCTGCCCCTATTAAGTGCAGATCTTACCATGTCATTCCCCTACTTGATTTCATTGGCTCTCTAAGCCTCTAGAATAAACTTTAAATTACTCTATTTCGTTTTTAATACTGATCTCAACTTTTTTTTTTTCAATTTATCTATTTTCTCCCCCTTCTCCTCTCTCCCCTTCAGTATTGGAAAAAAGAAAAAGGAAAAAACATCTTGTAGTAAGTATAGTCAAGCAAAACAAATTCCCGCATTGGCCACTTCCAGAAAAATACAAGTCTCATTCATAAGTCCATCACCTTTCTGTCAGGAAGTAGGTAGCATGCTTTATCATAATCCTCTAGAATCATGGAGAGTTACTAAGTCTTTCTAAGTTGCTTTTATAGTGTTAGTGATTAAGTTGATCTCCTTGTTGTGTTCACTTTATTCTGCATTAATTTATACATGTCTTCCTGGGTTTCACTGAAACCATCCCTTTTATCATTTCTTATGGCACACTAGTAATATTGCATTACAATCACAAGCCATGTTTGTTCAGCCACTCTCCAATTAGTGAGTAACCATGTAGTTTTCAGATTTCTGCTACTAAAGAAGAGTACCTTCCTCAGCCTCCTTTTCTCCTCTGACTGGAGGGCTGGAAGGCAGAATACCAAAGCCTACATTTATAGAGGGCAAAGATTGGACTTCCTGCTCACTCCACTTTTCATTGGCAGCTTTGCCTGGTATCAACTACATGGAACAAAATACCCCCATACCAAGTTCTCCCTTGTGTGTGTGTCCTGTCCTCCTCCCCACCTTCTTTTCAGCCTCCTTTTGTGGATTATAGTAATCCCTAGTGGATTACTCCTCTGGCATATAATATGGACTTTCTCTTTGGGATATAGGCCTAGTAGTAGTATTGTTGGATCATAGAGTACAATGTTTAATAATTTTGGGGGCATAATTCTAAATTGCTTTTAAGAATGTCAGTGTCAATTCCTATCTCTACCAACAGTTCACAAATATGCCATTTTCCCCGCTATCCCTCTATTTTTTATTCCTTTTTTTGTCAGCTTTACCAGTCTAATTGGTATGAGGTTGAACCTTGGAATTGCTTTAATTTGTATTTTTCTTATTTTAGTGATTTGAAGTATTTTTTCAGTATATTTGTTGATAGTTTGGATTTCTTTTTTTGGAGTTCTTCACAAACAACTTGTGCATATCCATTGACCATTTATCACTTGAGGAATGGTTCTTACGCATTTAAATGAGTTCATTATATATTTTGGAAATGGGAGTTTTACCAGAGAACGAATCCTGCCTTTCCAGCCTCGTCACATTTCCGCACTCTGTGGTCCAGCCAAACTGGCTTTCTCACACGTGACACTCATAACTTATGTCCATGCCTTTGTATTGGCTGCTCTCGTGTCTGGAATACGCTCCTTCCTTATCTCTGCCTCATAGAAATCCTCTCTTCCTTCAACATGCAACTCAAGTACCACTTTTACATGAATTCTTTCCTGATCCCTGCAACTGTTGGTTCCCTCTCTGCCTAACTACTTGATTATTATTTTGTATTATATATTTTTGTTTTCTATATGTATGTATATATATATATATATATATATTCTTATATGTACTTATTGGCTGATAGAATGTAGAGATTGACTTAGTCTTTATTTTTGTTGCCTGGTACCTAGCACAGTGCCTGCTCAGTTGTTTTTTTAAAATTGATTTTCATTGACATCTTTTGTTTTTACATTGCCTAGATTTCCTCTTGTGTCATACATAGAAACCTGAAACCAGACACTATGAAATGAATAGTGGCAGGCCAGTTTAATGGATCCTACACAAAATTGCAAAAAATTGGAAATAAATTTCAAGCAGTGGAGGAATGGTGAAGTAAATGGGGCTAATATAATGAAATATAACATCTTTAATACCAGCAAATATGAAAAATACAAATCTAGAAAGACTTATTAAAATTATGCAGTTAAGGACAGCTAGGTGGTGCAGTGGTTAGACCACTGGCCCTGAAGTCAGGAGGACCTGAGTTCAAATCCGGCCTCAGATCAAACACTTGACACTTACTAGCTGTATGACCGTGGGCAAGTCACTTAACCCCAATTGCCTTTAAAAAAAAAAAGAGAGAGAGAGAGAGAGAAAGAAAAAAAATTATGCAGTTAATGGGGCAGCTAGGTGGGGCAGCTAGGTGGCGCAGTGGATAGAGTTCTAGTCTTGGAGTCAGGAGGACCTGAGTTCAAAATCCAGCCTCAGACACTTGACACGTACTAGCTGTGTGACCCTGGGCAAGTCACTTAACTCTCACTTTTGCCTCACCAAAAATCCAAAAAAAAAAAAAAAATTATGCAGTTTAAAAACACCAAGAATATGTACTATGATCATATGAGGAAAAAAGAAATGAACAACTGGGTAGTGACTGAAAAATTATACTTTATTCATTTAAATTAAGTTACTAAGACAATTTGATTATATTGAAATGCAGGGATGAGCTTTTAACAAAATATTTAAAAATATTAAGCTCATCACAGTTTAAATAGTACTTGAGAGTTTATGCTTCAACCTGGGTTTTTAAAGTAATAGATTTGACTGTATCATAATCTGAAGTTCTCTAATGAACTGTAATTTTATCGTCCAAGAAATAAACTTTGTATATTCTGACTTTTATTTAGCAATATATTCAGTCATTTTTGCATATTTCAAAGTGTTGGTATGAGGGTATGAGGATACTGATTGCTTAGATAGAAGGTAGGTGTATATGTGCGCGCACGTGACTGAAGACATTTATGCTTGGAAATAATTGTTATAGATTATTAGCTTCAAAATAGGAGGGACCAGTTAAGAAACATGGGGTATCTGGTGTTTGCAAGTTTATGAAAAAGTTTAGAAAGTGAATCTCTTCACATTGTCTGAATCTGAGTTAGTTACATTAAATAGCATTGGGAGTTTTCAAATCTGTTATCAGAGTAAATCATTACATTAATTGCAAAGATGCAAAGTGTACCAAGACCCTTCTCTGATAGCACATTCACATTATGACAGGAACACCATAATTTCCTGTTATGGCATTGCTAATGGTCCTAAAAAACTGTGCCTAACTCAGAATAGAGGATAAAACATGTGATAAGAGAAAGATAGATGCAATTATCTTTATATCCTTCCTTTTTCTAATTTTTTTCTGGTCAGAGGTAGTCATCCTATTTGAACTCTTAAACTGGTGGTCTTTCTCTCTTTGTTTTTCAGGGAATGGATTCATACACAAATGGGGCTTATGGTCCACCATACCCCACAGGACCTGGAGCAGCTGCATCCTCATATTCTGGGACTTACTATTCTTCTGGACATCCTCCAACTCCTTATCCTACAGATGTTCCAAGCACTTACCATTCCCCTGGCAACAGCCCAACCCCTGTTTCTCGATGGACTTATCCCCAGCCAGACTGTCAAACCGAAGGACCTGCTCTGAGGGGGCATGTTCCAGGATATCCTATGTCACAGGTGAGTAGTTTTTATTAATGAGAAATCAATTTCAATGTCTTTGAGTTCTTCAGAGTGAGTGACTTTCTTTGATTGTGGTGCTGACTCCAGAAGACACTACAGACATCCAGGCTGTACTAGAAATGTGCTTATCAGTGGTTATGTATTGATACCTTTTTAATTTGTAGCTGTTTTCTTCCACTGTTTGGAATCTGACTTAGTCTGCCTGAAATCATGAAATCAAAGCTCTTTAGAACTATCACTGAAGTCCAACCCTTAATCCTGAATGATTTGACTCTTGCTCAGTGTTTTCCCATGTTAACATGGTACAGTGGAGGAGTATTGAATTTGAATTTAATCTGGGTTTGAACTCAGCAGTATCACTTAGTAGCCTAGACAAGTCTCTGACTCTCTCAGTGCTTCAGTTTTCTTATCTGTAAGATACAGGATTGAATTAGATCTAAGTTTCTTTCACCTGTGATTCATCTGTGTTTTTTGACTGTTTTGTTTAAGTGCTATGATGTGATTGGTAGAATGTTATTTACTTTTTTCAGAGAAGAGCACTGTACTGTGTGGGCACATTATTCATGATAACCTGGCATTGATATATCCTGTCTTTAAGCCATAGAACTGCTGTTTCTATGCATTCTTCTATACCACCAGACCCCTAAATCCTTGACATAGTTTACAAAATGGAGGGGAAGCCATTCAGAGTTTTGTCTGTAGTAAGGCGTTTTAGTATCTTAACTGAGCTTTGGTGGTGACCAATAATGGGTTTTTTCTCTTCTTACCCTAGAGTCCTGGAATGGTCCACCCCCATTACTCATTTGGGGATGGAAATCCTAATGTTCCACCACCAGCACCACCACCCCTCCGAACACAAGAGCAAGTATGGACCTCCTCTGGGGTTTACGGAATGACAACACGCTACTCTTGGCCTTCTTCAGCTGCACCCTCAGCACAGTCTGGGAATTACTTTATGTCAGGATCTACTTCGTCATGGTCCAGCAATGCATCCTCTCAGCCGCCTCCTTCACCCCCACCACCTCCACCCCCACCTCCACCTCCCACACAGGATTCCAAGGTATGGAAATGTGGAAACATTGTTCTTTATATGTATGCTTTTTTAAGAGGGAGTGAATAATAAATAACTTAACTACACTTGTCTTTGTTGATAAGAAATATTAAAAAGGTTTTCTCTTCATTTGAGTAAGACACATGATGAGTAGGTACTAAGTTCCATCCTCTCATAAGCTTTGACTGAGTTTGCTGCTTTTCCCAAAGAGACATGGAATTGGTTAGATTTCTGTTTACTTGTAGTACTTTCAGAACATTAACTTATAGATGACATTCATTCCAAATATGTAGGACTACATTTGGCAGTCCTCAGATCATCCATATACACCAAGGCAAAGTCAGTGGGAGTAGATTCTAATTAATAGTGGATTCTAATAATAAAATGTGCATTTTAATTAAATCTAATAAAATGTGTATTTTAAATCAAGGAACTGAAGTTCACTTTCCCATAGGTTTCTTTTTAAGGGTTTGTCTCACAAGTACAACCTACTGGGAAAGGACTATTTAATTCTTACTTGTTAAGTCATAGGATAGATTGTGAGGTGATGATGATGTTCATTTGCCTCAGAGGGCAGATTCTAGCCTTTGCCCTTTTCCTGTCCTTGGCTTTGGACAGGTCACTCCCTTGTACCATCTTAGGGATGTGTTTCTGCCAGATGATTGAGGGAGGTCCAGCTGTATTATTGAGAGGACCCTTCATTTTCCTTCCTGGTTGTGTGGTTAAGATGGGGACTAAGAGACTTGGCATTGATGGATCCCTGTTAAAACTAATTTCCCCCATTTTTTCCTGCCTCCAAGGATCCCTCATACCCTCATAGCCAGCCAGAGCAAGGTGTGAACCGGAACAACTTTCCCAGCAATGTCCATCAGTACGAATCCTCCTCGGAAACTATGAACAACAGTAATCCGGACCTTTTCAGTTCCAAAGTTCAGTATAGTGCCCAGCCCCAGATGTACGGCAACTCAGCCAGAAGAATTCCCAACAGTCAAGACCTGGGATACAAAATCCCTGATGATCATTCCTCTTCAGACGAAGGTCAACCACCAGGTATTAAAAAAATCACACAAGTGCTAGAGAAAGTCCAATACCTTGAACAAGAAGTAGACAAGTTTGTAGGGAAAAAGACAGACAAGACATACTGGCTTCTAGAAGAAATGCTAACCAAGGAGCTATTGGAACTGGATTCAATTGAAACTGGTGGCCAGGACACTATTCGACAAGCAAGAAAAGAGGCTGTTTATAAGATCCAGGCCATACTGGAAAAACTGGAAGAAGAAGCATTATGAGTTGGATGTGCAACTAGTAGAAGCCTGTTACTAACTTGACCAAAGATCTCTTGATTTTGGTTAATTCATATCCCTTTGAAACTGCTGTTGATGATAAGAAGCAATAAATGCTGACTTTTCCTTCATTTAAAACTATTTTTAAAAAAGTGGCAAAAGACTTGGAAGGACATTTTGGTTCCGAATTGTTTTCAGTTTGTTGTTTCAGACCAATGAATGTAATAGGAAACTATGGAACCATCAGCATTACCAAGTCAGCTACTAGTTGTGAAGGCATCTATGGATGTCTACAGGCTTCTTTTCAGCAGAAGGGAAATTCACTTTATGTAACAGGCTTACCAGAATCAGGTCAAATGAGGCTGGATATAATCTGAAGCAAACAGGCACTGTTTTTAAAGAGCTGGAGTACTTGTCTAATTTTGTATGTTGTGAAGGCTTTATAACATGCACTCCATGTGTAAATTATAGTTTGGACTTGAGCCTCCTTGGGCCTGTCTTGTGTTGCTATTTATAGCTCCATAAATCTGGTCATGCAGATTGAAATGTATCATTCTCTATTTGGTGCACTCTGTAGTCATATGTTTAAAGTGACCATACAAGAGACCACATTGATAGCCTATCAGTGTGACATCTCTGAATATTAGTGAATATTTTTCCAGCTCTTGGAAATACTGCAATGTTTAGTGATATTCTTGATTGTGAATTGTTGTTCTCCCTCTTCCCCTTATGTGCAAATCATCATTAGGTTGGAATTTTTGCCCATGAAATATGGTAGTGGAAGCAGAATTTGGATATGGCAATATTAACTTGAGTGAATGTGTTCACAAGTTTTTTTATTTTTTACACAAGTTTTTTTATTTTTTACATCTGAATGGAATTTGGGTGAGGATCCACTTTAAAATTATCTTTTTCAGAGTGTAATTCTGTTTTCCACTACATCATATACACTTGCTGCTTCTGTACAGAGCATTATGATGACCACAGGTAAGACATGAAACATCACAGTGACTAGATATAGTGACTGCAAGAAATAATAAACTTGATTAAAACATGATTATTTGGTTAATAGCACTCTCCATCTCAAACTATTAATTTTGCCCTCAGTATTCCTATGAACAGAGTAAAATTCTGTTCAGTTTACAGCTATGAAAAATGAGTGTGAAAGCCAATTATGAAAGTTTAGGAAGCGAATCAGCCATATAGCTAGAATGAGAATTGATTTTTTTTTCATATTCTAAAAGTGTACCTCATTATCCAGTCTTGCTGAAAGCAAATTAATTTTATGGATAGAATTCCCTTTTTAAAAAAAAGTCCTTTAGCCACTGTTAGCTCAGTTATATCTCAGTACCAAACTTCAGCAAGGAATATTGAAAAAGATAGTATCTGTGGTGGTTTGGGTAGTCTACAGGGCTGTTTTTAAGAAAGAGACTTCTGAAATATACTGAATTTAATCATTTTCGAGTTTCAGTGTATTGAAAAACCTAGTTATTTCTTAATAGTGTATCAATGCAGCAATGGCATTTTGTAGACTAAGAGCCTCACGAGTATTAAAAGGGAAATTTGGTTGTCTACCTTAATACATGATGAGAAGGGTATTAGCTCATACTATTGCTTGTAGTTTTGATGAGTGATTTTACAGTTGGATGTACTGATAAATTATTTCAGGGCTATATGTTTAGCCCCAGTTCAAAAACCTGAACATTATAGAAAAGGAAAGAATCCTGAAGCTATGTTAAAGTTAATTTAGAAATCATTTCAAGAACATAGTGGGTTACCAGGGGCTAAAAGATGCATTTCTTCCTTGCTGTAGCATGTGATATACTATTTCCCCAAAGATTGGGTTTAGTGTAAAGTGATTAGGATAATTCAGGCAAACTTGCAACTTGACTAAATTAAAAAATGAACACCAAATTGTGAGCAGTGAATACCAGTGCAGATAAAAACTTAAGGTAAAAAAATTAAGCTAGTAGTTCCTTTAGTAGCTAAGAAGAAATTGAAAGGTGATAATGGTATCCCTGATTTATTAGGCTGGTTCAGCTTTTGGGAAGGCCAGTACTGACATGTTTGTTTTAGAAAATTAAGAGTTTCCATGAATGTTTGCATTAAAACCTGAGCTTGTTTTATACAAATTTTTTTTTAAAAATTAGTTTTTGATGTCTGTGCCATATTCTGTTGGGTATCACTTTCACTTGAATCTTAAATAAAGTTACTCAGACATGGCTTATTAAATACAACTGAGTTTTCTTTGTAATGAAGCTACTTCCTGTCATAAATACAGAAACATATAGGTAAATACTTGGGGAAAAAAACTTTACAGAAACACATGGGGTAGAGTTATACTTGCCTGTACAATGTCATTGCTAAATTCTTTCAATTTAATTACTGTAAACAGCTAACTTAATTTGAATGTAGGCCACGTAGTTGGAAACCTTGGAGGAAAATGGCCTATGTGGTGTTTTTTGTTTTTTTTTTTTCCCCTTTTGGGGATGAGAGAGAAAGTGGTAGGTCTTTTTTCTGATTCTTTTAAATGTTTAATAAGTCAACTTTTGATTGTCATTGTTAATGGAGGTAATAATCTAAAAACACCTTCAACTTGAGTTTTTGGAATATAGGCCAAGCTTACTTTTAATCACTTGTTAAATCCAGCAAAGTAGATTCTTTGTTAAATATGAGTCACTAGCTCTTGCTTATAAAGGGCAATGGAAGAACACGTTGGTATGAATTTGCTGCAGTATATTACTAACAATAGGAAGCACGAGAAGTAGTATAAAAGATTATGAAGGACACTGACTTAAGAACCAATTAACACAACAGATGGGACTGTCCACTTGCTACTTTAGTACCTTCAGTATAGTGGAAAATGTCTTCCAGAATATTTGGTTGAACCTCTATAGGATTTAGAGAAGACTTATTGATGAAAATTAAGAACACACAATATTAAGCTAGGAGACCTAGATTACAGTATTGTAATCTTGTAATTATTGTGATCTTGGCACGAACTAATAGTGTGATATTGGACAAATCACTCCCCCAAAGCCTTAGTTTCTTCATCTATAAAGTGAAGCTAAAATGAAATGATTTTTTAGTTCTTTTCAAGCTCTAAAGTTCTGATTGTATATGTATAATTATGAATCCTTATAGCTAGAACTCTTATGAATAGAAAAGTACCCATTGGCAAATTCTGTTTAACAGAATTAAAGTGAAAGGAATTCAAGAATTATGTCAAAGTCATAATATCAGAGAGTCTTTCCTGGTGAGGGAGTGTCCATGGCAATGAAATCATAGACCAATCATAAACTTCATATAGTTTTGGGAAATACAAAACAAAGAACAGAGTTGGGTAGATAGGGAAAACAATATGATTGGTTACATCAAGGAAAGAAGGTGAGTACTCACGTGGGGCTAGTAACCGCTCCTCTCTGTCCATTAAGGAATGCTTAACTGATTTGTAGGACCCATCTGCATCTTGCAGTTTTTGCTATGGGATCACAACTACCAGACTTGCTATTTCTTTGGAAGAGAGGAAAATTCTCCTATTTACCACAGGCAAGGATGAATGGAGAACATATCTTTTGGAGATGGAAACAAGTTAACTTATTGGGCTTAACAAACAGATGTATAGGAAGTATCCTATATATGTAAGTAACTGATAGAGAGAGATAGTTGAGAGATAGCAACTCTTTTAAACTAATTTTAAGCTAACTCGGAGGGAAAGCTAAATTCTTGAGCTCAACTCAAGGACATAAAAAAGTAGCTTTAGACAGGTGCAGCCTCAGTTATAAAAATCAATACAGCATAAAGTCAATTATATCATAGAATCAATACAGTAGAAACTAGAGGTAATATTAATTTTTAGCTTTTCAGTGCCAAAGAAGGCCTTGCATTCTACAGCTGTGCTTTGGTGTCTTTTTTAGAGAAATACTGGATTGGACAGACTGTATGCCTGACAATTCATATACATATTTATCTTTTTAATCTGAAAGAGATGTGAAAAGCAAATATAAAGAGGAGGTATCATTTACTTTAGCACAGTGATTTTTATGACCCTCAGGTAAATCTCCAGAATGGAAGCAGGTTACAGGGGGAGAAATGTACCATATTGATAAATTGGGGTGAAGCTGGACAAACGGGATAATAACAAAAATTGTCAACATTAATATAGACCTTTAAAATTTGCAAAACAGCCTACATATATAATCTCATTTGATCCTCACAACAACCTTGTGAGGTCCTTGCCCTCACATACTAATGAGGCTCAGGTTGCGACTTGCCCAGGGTTACACAGCTAATTAAATAAATATAAGAGGGAGATTTGAACCCAGGTCTTCCTGACCCCACTTCCATTAGTCTAGTCATTACAAAGTATCTAGCTGTTCTTCACCATGGTTTAACCAGTTGACTTTCCATTATGCAGTAAATATTTGTAGATTTGATCACATACTCATATCCATATTTTAAGCCCAGTGTAATTTGTCCTCTACTAATATAGATACATAACCTGACTTCTACTTTGCTTTAGTTAGGTTAATATTAAAATTATTTTGGATTCCCTTGGTTGTGGTCTGGAGCATTATACCAAGTATTTCATGAGTCAGTCCTTAAGCATTTATTAGCTCTATGTGCCAGGCATCATGCTAAGCACTAGGAATACAAAGTAGAAGCAAAAAGAAAGCTCATTGCTGCCCTCAAGGAGCATATATTCTAATGGGGGAAAACAAAACATAAAAGAAGACTAAAAATGTTGGTGGTGAGGGTGAAGGTACCTTTGTGTGTGTTGAGGGGAGAGGTGATTGAGAAAGAATTTCAGAGTCAGAAGTGGAGCCCTAAGTTGAATGAAGGAGTGACTGTGGCTAGCCTGGTCGTTTCCTTAAATGCAGACACCAGGAGGAGGTGATCAACCAAAGGAAAAGACTGCAGGAGCATTGGGATCATCCAGGATGAGGAGGTAGCAAGAGTGGGGTGGATCTTTAAGCTGCAGCTCAAACATCTTCCAAGGTAATGGGAACTAAGTAGCTCAATATTAACGTTGGAAATAATCTGCAAATATTTGTCAGTTGAATGTGAAATATGAATATTTATTAAACATTAGTAACAATATTTAGGTCATGTTGACTTGTAACTGTCATGGTTCATGAAATCAGTAATGACTGGACACTAATAAGAGAACTAATGGAAAAAAAAAAACCTGTTGGATTGTTTCTTCTGGGATGTGATTGGTTTTGTAACACTGAATAGCAGCTAAGGTTGACCAGGGATAATGTACTAATGGTTAGACTATAAGGGTGGCAAAAACAGCCTTAAGCATTGTTTTGTCTACTCTTTAAAAAAAAGTTTTTCTTGATGCTTTTTGTTTTTTATGTCATAGTTTTTCCCAGTTTCCTGTCCCCTTCACCTCCCCCTCCCAGAGCCTTCATATATAACAAATAATATTTTTATGTATTATTTTTAGTCTTCATTTTTAGAAGATTTTGAGTTCCAAATTTCTCCCTTTCCCCTCCCCAAGATGGCATGCAATCTGATATAGACTATACATGTACAATCATTAAACATTATTTCCACATTAGTCATGTTATGAAAGAAGAATCAGAACAAAAGGGAAAAACCACAATAAAGAAAAAAAAAGAGAAAATACTATGCTTTGATCTGCATTCAGACTCCATAGTTCTTTCTCTCGATGTGGATAGCATTTTGCATCATGAGTCTTTTGGAATTATCTTAGATCATTGTATTGCTGAGAAGAGTTAAGTCTATCAAAGTTGGTCATTGCACAATGTTGCTGTTGCTGTGCACAATGTTCTCCTGGTTCTGCTCACTTCACTAAGCATCAGTTCATAGTAAGTATTTCCAGGTTTTTCTGAAATCTGCTTGTGCATCATTTCTTATAGCACAATAGTATTCCATTACATTCATATACCACAACTTGTTCAGCCATTCCCCAGTTGATGGGCATTCTCTCCATTTCCTATTCTTGGCCACCACAAAAAGAGCTGCTATAAATATTTTTGTACATGTGGGTCCTTTTCCCTTTCTAATGATCTCTTTGGGATACACACCTAGTAGTGCTATTACTGGATCAAAGTTTTATAGCCCTTTGGGTATAGTTTCAAATTGCTCTCCAAAATGGTTGGATCAGTTTACTCCACCAACAATGCATTAGTGTTCCAACAAATAGTATTTTTTAAAGACAAAAAAAAAAGGGAAAAAAATTAGTACAACTAATTAATATATTAATTTTGCTACACTGACTTTTTGGGGGGTGAATGGTAGTTCTTTCAATTTACATTATTAAAGTCATGTATATTTTCTTGGTTCTGTGTGTTTCGTTTTGCATCAATTTATGTAGATTTACATGCTTCTCTATTCCTCATATTCATTATTTCTTACACCACAGTAATATTCCATTATATTAATGTACCACAGTTTGTTTATCCATACCCAATCAATGGAGTATCTACTGTTTCCAATTCTTTGCCTCCACAAAAGAGCTGCTATAAATATCTTGGTGTGTTTGGGGACTTTCTTCTAATTAATGACTTCCTTAAATATAAGGGGGCAGCTAGGTGGTGCAGTGGATAGAATGCTGGGCCTGGAGTCAGGAAGACTCATCTTCCTGAGTTCAAATCTGGCCTCAGACACTTAATAGCAGTGGGACGCTCAGTTTCCTCATCTGTCAAATGAGCTGGAGAAGAAAATGGCAAAGACACTTCAGTGTCTTTGCCAAGAAAACCCCAAATGGGGTCATGAAGATTTGGACCTGACCCAACAACAACAAATAATGGAGTTTCTGGGCCAAAGGTCGTGAACTAATTTTAGTCACTTTATTTGCATAATTCCTAATTGCTTTCCAAAGGGGTTGTACCATTTCACAGCTCCACCAACAATATTAGCATCCTTATCATTTTACAATCCTTCCACTATTAACTACCCTTAATCCTTGCCTGCTTACACTATAGGTGAAGTGTCCAGTTTAAGGAATTTCAATATATGTGAAAAGGCTCATGGGTAATTTTGAAATCAGAAAGCCCAAAAGGATCAAAAGGTCATCTTGATTTAGAGGGGTCAGTATCATTTAGCAGACTGAGCACTAATTTCAATTTAACAAGCATGGATAAGTTCTTACTAAGAGTTAGGCAAGAGAGGAAATGTGGGGTGGTGGATAGAGGGCTTCGGGGTTAGAAAGAGGAGTCGTAAGTGTTGCCTCTGATGCATAACGTTGTTATGATTATGGG